TACACCATTACCTTCATTTACATAAGCAGTAACCTATTCAAAGAATGTTAAAAGATTTGTAAGGCAAGATTTTCCCGTAGTGAAACCATATTGATTATCCAATAAAATTCTAAACTGTTAAATATCATTGCAAAGTATCTTTTAATAGACTTTCTAAAACGTTTCCAATAAATGATGTAAGACTAATGGGTCTATAATTATTGGGAATAATTTTTTATCACCTCCTTTGAAAATAGGAGTAACATTAGCCAATTTCCAAATCCTCTGGCACCTGCCCACTATTCAAAGACTTACAAAGAATAGTAGCAAGTGGCTTACATATCCATTACTTAACCTCCTTCAAAATCCAGGGGGAAATATTATGTGTTCCAGGAGTTTTATCGTTCTGTAAACTTTCCAGTTTTTTCTTAACAAGCTCAGAATTAATATGATCATCTTGTTCGATGTTGTTTTCATCTATCAACTGTTGAAAATGTGGAATATTGCTTAAATCTTCGTTAGTAAAAACCGAAGAAAAAGCAAAATTTAATAACCCAGTCTTCTCATAATCATCAGATACGAGCCTTCCTTTATCATCCCTCAAATGTCCTACCCCATCATAACATTTTGTTTACCCTTAACGTATTGAAAGAAATCCTTACCGTTAATTTTTATATTTTTTGTCAACCTTTTTTATACATCCTTTTTAATGTCCTAATTTCTTGTTTGGCCAACTTTCTTAATCTTCTAAATCTCCCATCATATCAGTCAATATAAATTTCTTAAATTTATGACGGTTTTTTTAAAACTGATCTATAGCCTTTAAGAAATAGTTAATCTCGATTACATTTTATTTAGTTCAAATGTTATGTTGATGTTTGTGTGAATTGTACTTGGAGTAACTGCAGTATTTGATTTGTTTTACACAAAGACACAAGCAGTTCTTTTATTGTTTTTCGTTTTTTATTTATTTGCTATTTAACGTTTCGAAGTTTGATGGTAAGAGTTTTAAAAAAGAATATGGCATAATACGAGTCAAAATTCTTTTCTAAAAGCAAGATGTTTGTTTTGTTTTTTCTAATTTCGCGCAAAGCTACACGAGGGCTATCTGCCGTAGCCGTCCCTAATTTAGCAGTGTAAGACTAGAGGGAAATCAGCTAGTCATCACTACCCACCGCCAACTCTTGGGCTTCTCTTTTACCAACGAATAGTGGGATTGACCGTAACATTATAAAGCCCCCACGGCTGAAAGGGCGAGCATATTTGGTGGGAAGGGGATTCGAACCCGCGACCCTCAGATTGCGAGTCGAGCGCCTTATCCACCTGGCCATGCCGGGCCCTATAAGCAAGAATCATTAGCTTTAACCATTTCGCTACCCATGGGGCACATGTTCTCATCCATTTCCCAAAGTGGTAGCGCTTCGAATTATGTTGTACACACACACAATACCCCCACACTCCATTCAGGTCTGGAGTAATTAGGTATTAGAAATAACACCATATCGCGTAAAATGTAAGGACAGCACATATGCTACAATTTGTGAACTTGTGCCTTTGAATGTGAATTTCAAGATTTGCTGCAAGAATAGCTAATAAAGATTAAAAGCTATCACAGATAACCAGTTGAAGTCAAGGGGCTATAAAGAACAAATTAAGGGACATAACAAAATAAATGGTTATTTGTATGATTCCAGGGACATTTTAACCTGTCTGCTTTTGCTCACGTCAACTGTAGTTAGTGTAAAACTGAAATTAAACGTATTTGAACATAAAGTGTGGAATATCTGCCTGACTGCCAAAAATTAATCACTACCACTTCCATGCGAAATTTGAAACATGTTGCGAAATAGTACCACATGTCTGACATTAAATAAATTACATCTCAGTACATTAAGCCTGCGTAGTGAGCTCTATGCTTCTTAATTCCACAGACAGACTGTAGTCCATAAGCTTCACGTTATAGTCATGAATAAAAGACAGTTCGTTCATATGATCCGATCAAGTTGAAGTGAAGAAGAATGCATCACGAGTTGTGTTCCTCATAATTCATTACTTCCTTCGGGTGACTGGACTGTAGGTCTTGGTAACTTGGGGAGCTGTTTGGATTTGACATTATGGATATTATGGGGTAATATCATGGTATAGGCCTGTGCAGGTATGTTGTAACTGGTTTTAACCAGATTTTTTGGGTGTATATTAAAGAAGTTACATCCAACTTGTCTTAACGCGATGTTGTGAGTAATGCTGTTCTGATGGAATTCCATTGTTGCGCTCCAAGCATGCTGTCTGTGTCCATTTGAGATAAAAAAAAAGTCCATAACCCGTCTTCTCTTGCCTAAGCTCCGATATAAATCGAATTTACTGCTATTGGAAATTCAAAAACACCGCCTGAAAGCCTGATCCCAAAATTGTGTTTCACTTAGAGCTGCTTTGTAAAAGTAGTACCGGTCTATTCCACCAGATGTAGACCAATTTTCAGCAACCGAACACAGGCTGAGACTAATGCTAAAGATGGGCCCACTTTTCATGAAAAGAGAACTACAGTGGCGAAACACGAAACTCTTTTTGTCAAGAGGGTGCTGCCCCAACATTTTTGTTTATGTCAGTGTGTATCAAACATATTTGTGGGTGCAAACATAATAAAATCCAGAATAATATTCTACAAATTACAATAAAGAAGTTTATTCCAATACTTAGAATGGAAATGGGTGTTTTAATCTTCCTTTTAATAGGAGCTCTGTAGCACTATGCTTTAAAATAAGTGGTAAGAATTTTACTAAGACAAAACAATACGGGAAAAAAATATTTGAAAATAAACAGCTGCAGATATAGTTTGTAGGCAAACTTGGAATTGCTAGAGAAATTTTTGCTTAGAAAATTAATATCGCTTTTTTTTTCTGATAAGTTCATCTCTGGCACAAACAAACTTATTATATGGAACTGACACATGTATATCTTAAATGGCTGAAATACGTGAATTATCGTACCATTTAGTCCATTTTGAAATGTTTTAGGACTTTTAAAAACCCATTTTGATATGTATTTATTTTGTACATTGTTTTTTTTCCTTACAATAAAACTGGTGTGTAACATTTACTCTATGTATATTATATAATACATGAATTTAACAGTACTTAATTTAAGTAGACTATTAAATAAATGTATAGGGATACACAAAGTATATGTTTCATAAAGGTTTTTTATTCGAAAACGGTAATGAAAGTTAGATTTATATGTTGATACATTAATGTCAGAACTTCTACACGTTCTTTCAGTGCAGTTAGAATTAATCTGGTAGAAGTCATTTTGGTACAAACCATTATCTAAGTGACTAAAGGTAATTGTTATTAACCGAATTACAATCAGTTTCTAACAAAATACGTTCTACGTAAATACAGTTTTCAGAATGATGAATAAGGTCGAGGTAAAAAGAGTATCATTCGAAATAGCAAACTCCTTTGTAATGAAATGATAGAACTGCTAACTGACCACTGTATAACCTATCAATTGGCACAATAATACATACTATCGATAACTTAACAGGAAAGAGAAAACATTCCATATTTGAACTGCCTACCGTCATGCATATAGCAACGTGAACTAAATTTATTGCCCACAAAAACTTTATATCTAAGTAACTATTTGAAAATACGATAAAACATAAAGGCTCGAGATGCAGGAGGATGACACGATATTGATCAATTGGTTTTCACATGCACAAACTGTCTTTTGCGTGATACAGCGCACAAAACAAAAATAATTAAAAGTACACATTGAAATAAAAGGGAGAAACATACAGGCAAGCAGAGAGGAACAGAAATTCAAAGAAATAAGACAGCCAGTGTTTTTTTTTGTTTTTAATCTACCTATTGTTTATATACGTGGCTGATGTCTCTGGGCTACAGTACAAATAGCATACCTTTTCCGGTTCATGTCTGTCAGTGATGGAACATTTGTAGTGTCATACGTATACAGTGTTTACTTTGATAAAAGTGGTGGACATTTTGAATATTTGTAATGTTAGAAATATTCAATGTTTATTAATCACGAAAAAAGGCCTGCTGTGTTACTTGTACTTTATTGGAGGATTATGTCTATATGGTCTACATTATATTACACACACACATATACGTATATTTATAGGTATATATTCTTATAGTTCTTGCAATGAACATCCATATGTAATGGTTCAAAAGTGTGGAAAAAATTTACCATAATATCTTCTATCATCATGACATAGAAGTAGATAGTTTAAGTCATTTGTTAAACACATGGGAGATCTGGGTAATTAGCTTTTTTAGCCCTTTTAATATAAGCGAATAACTCTTTCATATCGTTACTTCTCTAAGTTATTTTTGCCACGTTATAAACGCTTAAATCGTCTGAAAAATTACATAAGTACAACCAAGGTAGGTCACACGTTTCATGCAAAGGTTTGTTTGTTTTGAATTTCGCGCAAAGCTACACGAGGGCTATCTGCGCTAGCCGTCCCTAATTTAGCAGTGTAAGACTAGAGGGAAGGTAGCTAGTCATCACCATCCACCGCCAACCCTTGGGCTACTCTTTTACCAACGAATAGTGGGATTGACCGTAACATATAACGCCCCCATGGCTGAAAGGGCGAGCATGTTTGGTGGGACGGGGATTCGAACCCGCGACCCTCAGATTGCGAGTCGAGCGCCATAACCACCATGCCGGGCCTCATACAAAGGAGTTGCGCAATAGTCTTTGTAAATAAAGACAAAAGAAAAATAAACAAAGTACGAATAGTTGATTTTATACATTAACAAGCTACAGCTGATCATTAATTTTACATAAAAAGTAAGTTTGACTTCGGAAGTTAATTTTAAGAATATCTATCGCTTTATTAGAACCTTGGTGCATAGCCTACCTCCTTCGTCATGTGACCGTCCGGGCAATCTTGAATAAAGTCTCTGTACCTGCAAAAATAAATAAACATACGTAGTTTTCATATGTACATATTATGAAATTAGTTTAATATCACAAACGTTAACGTACTCTGTTCTGATAATTACAAAACGCTAAATGTTTATACATTATTATTATTGTTAAACAAATATTCAGAGGTCACTAACTGTCTACTTTTGAAGAGGTTAAACACAAATGTAGGTTAATTTCAAAGTAAACTCCTTTTTTAAAATTTAAGCTTATCCATGCAATTTGACGTTATTTGATAAACGATTGTTAAGTTCTGATCTAAAGCTACCATTTCTTTCATGTCACTTAGGCAACATATAGAGCAACTGGTATTTCCCAAAGCATCGTGTGAAACTATAAACAATATTACCCATGAAATTTGCCGTTATTTGATAAACGATTGTTAATTTCTGATCTAAAGCTACCATTTCTTTCATGTCACTTAGGCAACATATAGAGCAACTGGTATTTCCCAAAGCATCGTGTGAAACTATAAACAATATTACAGATCTCCTGTTACCTAGGAGAGAGTTTCTTGACTTGCACGCAATTTACTTGCCAGTAAACACTATAGCTTAAAGTTCCCATCGAATAATAATTTTACTGTGTTTCTCATTTAACTTTTGCTACTGAATTAGGGTCCTGCAAATTACAATTTTTTTTTCGAATCGAACCATCCCGAAATATCCGAAACAAATCGTCTGTGCATATATAGATTACAAAGTATATAGGCTCATTTAAATTTTAAATCAAATAGTAAATGGTTTCTTTACTTATGTAGAGTACTTCTACATACAGTTAGTAATGAGTATAAAAGTAAATCTTTCTAAAAACAAAAGATATAATGTACTTAAACATCTGGAAGAAGAATGGTATAAAAGTGTTCTTATAAGGAAATAGGTTCCAGTATATAGACTAAATTAAAAGCTAAATTATAAAGTTTACCGGAAGTGATGTAGATTCGAAAATATCGAATCGGAGCCCAGCTAACGAATCAAATCGAATCTCGAAGCTTCGCAAGGCCCTGTACTGAATAATACCATATATATTTGTTGCTAATGGAACTTTATAATCAGTGAATGTGATCTTGCTTTCATATAATTCAATATTAATCTACAAAAACTTACTGCTCTCGGAGTTTTATTATTTCGAAAGAGTAAAGTAACAGATTTGTTGTTACCCGCTACAAGGACACTTCTGCTCGATTGCTACGTTAACAAATGCTCCAAGTGTGTGCTGGAAACAACTAATGTACACATGATAACAAGGCTCTTATGTTGTTTTTTATATCAAGTCTTGAACACAAGCCATGAGCATCAACTATTTTCCTAAATATGATATACTTTTATGTTGTTAAATATATATGTTCACAGTCGTATTGAAATTATGATTATGCGAAGATTAAAACACAAATTCCAAAAAAATAAAAATAAATAATAATGAAAAAAGTACAAATCAAACCCTAGATTAGTAAAGTAAATAGAAAGTCGATTATTTTTGTTCAAACGTTTCGTATGTAATATAAATATATCTTACTAAAAACTAGGAACTGCAATAAAAGGATTGATGTATTGAGTTTTACTTTAAAACACAATAATGTTTTAAAAATATGTATCTCTTTTTCTATCAGAATTCAGCAGTTTTACATATTTATGCAACTGTAAACATTTACATTTATGCATATTTCACGGAAATCATCATTTTGAAATAAAAAGTATTGTATTTTATACTATATAACATTTTAACATGTATAGCCAGAATAGAATTTTGAAAATTTCACAAAATTTGATAGTTTGAAGTGGTTTAATTCCCAGTTATTATAACCTGGTCACATTAAATTCTGGGCATTCTTAATTCTTTGGCGTCATGACTTCTTTACACATGTTCGAGTAAAGAAATATATAGCAAATGCTTATCAATAATTTCAACTTTTCTAGGAAATATACTGTCCATACAGAAAGGGGAAAGAATCGGTAAATCAATATTTTTTTTCAGGACATTCCAGTTGACCATTTGCACAAGGTAATTGATTATACCTCGTAATAGTGCAGTGATACATATATTCTGAAACAATGATACAGCAGCACGCGAGGGTAGAAATATAAAACATGGTGTAGTTGTATTCTGATCTTGGCCTAAGATGTGGGCCGTGGTAACGTGGGTGTAGCATGTTCATAAGATATTTGTCCACTTGTGTGTATATTTATTCGTTTCTTTTCTCATTCGGTATACGTTGTCACGTGACTTTAATAACAACAGTGTTACTCAGAAACGGTCCAGATCTGTCCTTGCTTTAAAATGTTATACTTGTACAATAGAAAATAGCGACTAATTTTCAAATAACTGGTAACAATTGTTGCCAAAATATGCCATTGTTTATCAAAGTATTTATTGTTCATTGCACGTGATTTTTTAAGAGGAGTTATATATCTTACAACCGTGATTTTAGAATTAAGTGCGTGTTTAATTCTCTAATATCCTTTTTAGTCACTTATTATCCTCATCAAGTATAAATCATTAGTTGTGTTTCTTAATCCCACTTCTCGCGCCTTCCTTTTAATTTTGATCTTTTATGTGTAATCTCTCATTCTTGTAATATGGTCACCATTCAATATCTGATTTGTTTTTATTCAATAGTAGCAGAGTACCCGGTGTTGCTCTGAATAAAATGGCTTTAAATATCCTGAGTTGTTTTGATTAAATAAACCATATTAATCGTGATTTTTTGCAAAAAAATAAATAAGATAAGAATTATTTCTTTACTTAACTAAATATTTTTATTAAAATCAATAAAAATAACAATGTGCGAAAAAATATTACTTTGCTAAAGATATTTTGATCAAAGCAAAACCGGGTACATTGTTCCTGCTTCTTGCATATGCTTTGCATGATATTTCAAGTTTCCAAAACAAAATTTCCTACCCTTTGGTGGCGTGATTTCTGCTGTGTGCTCAAGTGTCGTTTGCAGCGTATTCTGACTTTACTATCGGTCCATTAAGTGAATGATTTATCTATTCTCTTCTCGTTGCAATACAACGTAAATGAAAATTTGCCAGTACCGAATGTTTTTGTAAAGTCATCGTATAGGCGATCCTTGCGAGTACACCCAAGCAAAACAAAAGATATGACTGAAGCAAACCTATTTAGTTCAGGGAGTGTGCGCGCATGTTCGAGAGAAAGCACCAGCCTTTTTCAAGTAAGGGGATTTAGAGAATAGGATGTATGTGTAGAAGAAAGAGAGAGGGAGGGAAAGAGCACAAATGAAGGCTTCACGAAGTTTTTAAATCGTTTTAATAAATAATTGGTCATGGATAGCATGATTAGGAGAAGTCTTCACACAGAGAAGAAACGTAAATAATAGCCCTCTTGATGAAACACCACATAAAATTTCGGCCTTTTCAATTTTTAGACCATTTGCGCTTATATATATATATATATATATATATATAATTGGCAAATAATCGCTCTTTTGTTATTACTTAGTAAGCAACGCTATTATTTAGTTTATTTATTTTATTTTGTACAAAGCAACTCGAGAGTTGTTTGTGCTAGCCATCCCTAATTTAGAAGTGATAGACTAGATGGAAGGCAGCTTGTCAACATCGTTCACTGCCAACTCTTGGGCTACTCTTTACCAATGATTAGTGAAATTGACTGTACATTATAATGCCCCCACAGCTGAAAGATCGAGTATGTTTAGTGATGGGATTCGATCCCGCGACTTGGTGAGTCGAGCGTCCTAACCACCAGGCCATGCTTCATTATCTAGTAAGGATCCTATTGTTTAGTAAAGAGTAATCTTAGTTTCTTGATTTCATCATGTGAGTCCTGTGTCGTAAATTTTAGAAAGTTTACATTAGAGCTTAAGACAGTCACGTAATCCATGTAATCAAATAACCCAAAACGTCAAAATGTTGCTCATATATCACCAGAAAATGTTGCTCATATATCACCAGAAAATGTTGCTCATATATTACCAGAAAATGTTGCTCATATATCACCAGAAAATGTTGCTCATATATCACCAGAAAATGTTGCTCATATATCACCAGAAAATGTTGCTCGTATAATTCGAAAGGGATCGAAATAGTTAAACACTCAAGTTCAAATAAATTATGTCACTATAAGGTTATTCCATTGATTAAAAATACTAGGAAGTCAAGTTCTAGCTTCTATGTCTTCTTGAAAAAAAACAAAAAACATTTACAGTTAAAACATAATAGAAATTGAATGAGGCTCACTGAATATTTTAAATTATGCTACACGCGAAAGTAATTTATAATAAAATATACATTGCTTTGAATTGTCTCTAGTTCTTAAAACATTATGTGTGATCATAAATAATAACCTTCATATTTATTTTTAACTTTATGACGTCACTGCAGTCCATTAAATCTGAACAAATTAATTTTTTCATTTGTACATTTCTTTCTAATTTTCAACAGTAATCTCAAGTTGGAGATTGTTATTTTGGTCATACAATGTTTCACATGTATTGCAACAAACATTTAAAGGAAATTTAGAACTGGTTCCACAAATATAAATTGCGCGAAATTCAAAACAAACAAACAATTCTTTGAAATTTAAGATCACAGAAAAAATATGATTAAAATAGTTTTTCTATCTGGTTGGACAAAACTACGTTTTTCAAGTCACATGATACAAATATATGAGGATTTAAGAAATTAGTAAGTTATGTTGGTAAAGTTCAATAAAGTTTCTCGAATATTCATAGCTAAATCCTGCCATACAATAACAGTACACACGTAGTGGACTTTGATTAACTGCAGGCATTTTCACCACTTTGTGCCCTCGGTGACTAAACAGTAAGCTTGAGTGAGGGCTAAAATACAGGGCTCGGTACCCGAGTTGGGTACAACGCAAATAACTCATTGTCCAAATTTGTGCTTATACAAAATAAACAGAAACAGCACTTTATAAGTACCATTTTGAATTAAGTATATATTGAAATAAAAACTCACGCGATTTTTTTTAAATTTTAAAGACTATGTCCTTCTATTTCATCATATTCAGCTTGCAAATGTTACACATTTCTTTTATAATGGCCTAGACGCAATAGCTTTTATCAAAACTAACAAAATAATTTAAATAATCCAGAATAACAGCAGACATTCGTTACTCAGAAGATATTTACTGTGCACTATAGTGTAAAAAATTATTGTGTAAGCATACCAATAGTTCAAACGTCACTAGTGCAGTTCTAAAACAGTAAAAGGGTTAGATTAGCAGAGGAAATACTAAAGCCAGACAATAGGGTTAGAAACCCAATATCCACTGTGTCCTATATTAATAGAACAAACATACACGCTGCTTTAACTCCATCTTATAATTAATTTATCTTCAAATCTGTACTAGATACTTGAAATAAAGAATCAACGAAATTTCCAAATTCAAATTATAGTGGAGAAGTAAGTAGTAGATATTTTAGTTCCGCGTGATTAAAGCAATATAGGCAATATTCATATAGGCAATAGGGTTATTAAGCTTCGACAAAGAGTGTAATGGACGTCTGGAAAGTGTCGCAAATATGGCCACCATACGGCGCAATAGAAAAAAAATCGAAAAATTCATATCTTTCCCTTTTTAGGGGTAAATAAGCCATTACAGTATCTCAAAATCTGCAGAAAAATTAGCTTAAGTAAATTACAGTGATATTTATGGTGCATATGATGTGCCATGATATATAAAAAACCCTAATATAAAATAAATCATACTTTATATATGTGTAATTTAATATATATATATATATATATATATAATTAATTGTAATGTAATAAACATAATCAATCATAGTATATATATATATATATATATTTAATTGTAATATAATATATATATATAATCAGTTATAATATGTAATCAAGTTTGGCATGCACTAAATAGTGAAGTGATATCTAAGTATAATTTTCTTGAAGCTTTAAAACATATAAATAGCTCAAATTCGTTATAGTTCGCGTTTGTAAAGTTATAGGATTTCGAGATAAGAAATAAGTACATGAACTGATCCTTCCGATAAGACAACCAGTCCTGGTACTTTACATCCATATTATATAAAACATGTAACAGATCGTAGTTGCTGTTTTTCTTTAGTGCAAAGCTATACAATGGGCTATCTGCACTGTGTCCACAGAGGGAAATCGAATCCTAGATTTTAACATTGTAAGTATGTAAATTTATCGCTGACACACAGAGGGCATCAGACCCTGGTATGTCGTCCAGTGACTTGGCAGCAGATCTGAAGGTTTATGTAGTTAAAAAACCGGGTTTCGATATCCGTGGTGGGCACAGCATAGATAGCCCATTGTGTAGCTTTGTGCTTAACAACAACAAACAAAAAAAAAAACACTCTAGTGAAAAGTAGGAACATTTGTTTTCCCGATGACTCAAATACCTCCATATTTTTATAAAAAACTTACTTTTTCAACCTAATTATATTACAATAATGTTACTTGCAAGTATTTCTCTTCCTCAAGATGTTCTAATACAATTATAAAAAGAACCTACCATTTCTGAAGCTGTCTTGCTTCAACTGTAAAAAAAAAGAAAAAAAAAACAGTGAGATCGTTATAAGACTGGTTTTCTCTGTGTAATTTAAGTGACACATAGAAGAAACCACTGAGAACAAATGTGTGCTGTACTTGTTTATAACTTTTCGACGCATAGCCGGCAGAACTTATTTCAATTGGGGGGGGGGGCGACGATTAAGGGCACTTTATTTGCTATGTTAACAGTGACCATTGAATTCAAAGATAGTTATACACAAGGTTCTGTTCCCCACTCAAAGGAGCACTTCACTAGTGGGTAAAAATCGGGGACACGTGCTCCCAGTGACCCCCGGTTCCGCCACCTACGTTTAGACAAACAAATGAATAAATTAAACTAATAACAATAATATGCAATATCATATTTTGTACTGACTAAGTCAAAAAATGCATTTCATTCAATTCAATTCCTTTTTATAAATTTTCAATTGATAAAGGTACAAAAATGTGAAAATTAATGAGTTCTGATTTGTATGTCTTTGTTTTCTATGTCATACATAGCTTGGGAAATAAAAAACCTTTCGGGTCTTGTCGCAAGGCTGTAGTTATAAAGGTTCTTATGATTGCGTGATTGAGAGTCATATTATAAAGAAAAATACATACCAGAATGAACGAGGTTCTGAAACTTAAAGAGTTGGTTACCATACCTTTTTAGGTATCTTTAATTCAGCCTTTTTATTTCATTCCAATAAATACAGTTGCAAAAGTACGATTTTATCCTCTCAACTAGAATCCCAGTGCTTGGTCTGATAAGAAAGTAGAATTACAAGTCAAATTACTTAATTCTTGACAAGATATTTTGCACAATTTTGTAAAGAAACATATTGTTGAGTTTCTATAAGGTTTTTTTTTTTTTCATAGCTGGCACAAAATCCATTCTACAGAACATTCAAATTATTATGACTTATATGATTAAATTTGACTTAATTTGAGCTGGAGCATAACAAACACAAAAATATAATAGGTCTAATACCGATGTCTTATGACAAGTATAATTGATCCCTCGAATTCAGAGTCAGTACATGCTGATGATAAGGCCGCGGCACTACTGTGCCATGATCCCTCGAATTCAGAGTCAGTACATGCTGATGATAAGGCCGAGGCACTACTGTGCCATAGAAGAAATATTCTCGCGTGCCATAGATTCACAACCTCCTGCTTTATTGACATCTGTTTATTCATCTTGTCGTATTATATTCATTAGACACTATAATGTTCTACTGAGATGTATTTTATATTGTATTAATTTTAATCTTGAAATATTACGTGTGGTTACGTGCGTCGAGATATATTGTTATACTCCATTTTATCTAATAAGTAGCATGCTCTATACAGACGTTTTTCATGTATTTTGTACTCTTTTCCAAACTGGCGAAGCATGAGTTTCCCTCGAATTCAGAGTCAGTACATGCTGATGATAAGGCCGAGGCACTACTGTGCCATAAGGCAGGTAATAAACACTACACACCACCAGCTCTTGTCTAACTGAATATTGTGATTAGTCCATCACTCTTATAATGCACTCACTGGCTCATGATCCCTCGAATTCAGAGTCAGTACATGCTGATGATAAGGCCGAGGCACTACTGTGCCATGAACCAGATTGTGGTAATGAGTAATTGTATGGTGTTTTAATTACCAGATTGTGGTAATGAGTAATTGTATGGTGTTTTAATTACCAGATTGCATTATCAAGTAAATTTTGTAGTGTTTTGAGTGCCAAATGTTACTACTGATTGATTTTGAAGTGTTTTGAGTGCCAAACCATACCAAGAACTTTAGTGCTATTTCTGTATAAATGTGAATTCGCTAAACACGTTACCTCAGATGTACTATCTGGACAGTAAAATAATTTTGGGTTTGTTGTGAAAGTCGATTTAAACATTTATTCTTCAAACGGATTGTTTCAGAAATTTCGCGCAAAGCTACACAAAGGGCTATCTGCCTACAATTGTACGTAGCAGGTCACCAGATTGTCATAATGAGTAATTGTATGGTGTTTTAATCACCAGATTGTCATAATGAGTAATTGTATGGTGTTTTAATCACCAGATTGTCATAATGAGTAATTGTATGGTGTTTTAATTACCAGATTGTCATAATGAGTAATTGTGTGGTGTTTTAATTACCAGATTGTCATAATGAGTAATTGTATGGTGTTTTAATCACCAGATTGTCATAATGAGTAACTGTATGGTGTTTTAATTACCAGATTGTCATAATGAGTAATTGTATGGTGTTTTAATTACCAGATTGTCATAATGAGTAATTGTATGGTGTTTTAATTACCAGATTGTGGTAATGAGTAATTGTATGGTGTTTTAATTACCAGATTGTGGTAATGAGTAATTGTATGGTGTTTTAATTACCAGATTGTGGTAATGAGTAATTGTATGGTGTTTTAATTACCAGATTGTGGTAATGAGTAATTTTATGGTGTTTTAATTCGTGGTGGACAGAGCACAGATAGCCCTTTGTATAGCTTTGTGCTTAATAACAAACAACAACAACCTATTTACTAGTTGGTGGCAGAATTGTACTACTGAATAATTTTGTGGTGTTTTAATCATCAGATTGTAGTAATGAGTAATTTTATGGTGTTTTAATCATCAGATTGTAGTAATGAGTAATTTTATGGTGTTTTAATCACCAGATTGTGATAATGAGTAATTGTATGGTGTTTTAAGGGTATCGAAACCCGGTTT